CTCTTTTTTCTGTGTTTAAAACAGCCTGTCTTCTTATGTTGCCCAGGCTGGTTTCAAACTCTTGGCTTAAAGCAATTCTCCAGGCCGGGCGCGGTGGCTCAAGCCTGTAATCCCAGCACTTTGGGAGGCCGAGACGGGCGGATCATGAGGTCAGGAGAATGAGACCATCCTGGCTAATACGGTGAAACCCCGTCTCCACTAAAAAATACAAAAAACTAGCCGGGCGAGGTGGCGGGCGCCTGTAGTCCCAGCTAATCCCAGCTACTCGGGAGGCTGAGCCAGGAGAATGGTGTAAACCCGGGAGGCGGAGCTTGCAGTGAGCTGAGATCCGGCCACTGCATTCCAGCCTGGGGGAAACAGCGAGACTCCGTCTCAAAAAAAAAGCAATCCTCCTGCCTGAGCCTCCCAGCAGTTTAGAGGTGTGAGCCACTACACCTGGCCAATGACTCTTTTCTATCATGCTTTTGTACCCACAGTGAAATAATAGTTTAGAAACCTGGCTTGTGTGCTAATACCAAAGCTATTGATTGCTAGAAAACTTAACACTCAAGGTCATGAAGCAGACTTAGTGCTTGGGAATATTTTCGTTACCTCCTTTCCTGATAATGCTGTAAAATGATTCAAATATCATTTAAAATATAAAATACTATTCTTGTAGAGTTTATCAACAGATTGAAGTATTATGCCTGCTCTTCATAGACATTCCTTTAAATCTCATAACACAAAAATGCAATTTAAATGTTTGCTTTTGCCTGATATTCTGTTAAAAAGTAATCTAAAAAGCTTGGAGAAATTAAAGGCCCACTGTTATTTGCAGAAGTGGCCTCTTCTGATGAATAACATTTTGAAGGCGATATGGCTGTGCTTTTTAAAACTTGATTCTTTATTTGCAAAGGAATCACTTAGGATACTCAGTTTAAAAATCAAGTGTCCTCTTTATATTTCCATTCAATTTTGCTGTGAGCCTAAAATTGCTCTAAAAAATAAAGTCTATTAAAAAAGAACCTAGATATAGACCTTACACCCTTCACAAAAAAGTCACTCTAGACCATTGTAAAATGCAAACTACAAAATTCCTAGCGGATAGAAGAGGAGAAAATCTAGATGACCTTAGCCATCGCAATGACTTTTTAGATACAACTCCAAAGGCATGATCCATGAAAGAAAGAAAGAAATAGCTGATAAGCTGGACCTCATTAAAACAAAAAACTTCTGTTCCATGAAAAGCACTGTCAAGAGAATGAGAAGACAAGCCACAGATAATAAAAAGCATAGCTGATAAAGAACTGTTATTCAAAATATGCAAAGAATACTTGAAGTTCAACAATAAGAAAACGAATAACCAGATTTAAAAATGAGCCAAAGATCTTGACACTTCACCGAATAAGATATAGATGACCAATAAGCGTATGAAAAGATGTTCCACATCACGTGTCATCCAGGAAATACAAGTTAAAATAATGGAATACCACAACATACTATTAGAATGGCAAAATTCATAACACTGATACCACCAAATGCTAGCAAGGATGTGGAGCCACAGGAACTCTGATTCATTGCTGATGGGAATGTGAAATGGCAGTGTCACTTTGGAAGACAGTATGGTGGTTTCTTACAAAACAGAACATTTACCAGCAATCGCACTCCTTGCTACTTATCCAAATGAGCTGAAAACATACGTCCACGTAAAAAGCTACACACAGATGTTTACAGAGCTTTATTCATAACTGTCAAACTTGGAGGCAACCAAGATGTCCTTCGGTAGGTGAATGGATAAACGGTGGTACACCCAGACGATGGAATATTATTCATTGCTAAGAAATGAGCTATCAAGCTATGAACAGACATGGAGTAATCTTGAGTGCATGTTATTAAGTGAATAATAAGCCAGTCCAAAAAGACTACCTACTGTATGATTCTACCCATACGATATTCTGGAAAAGGCAAAACCATGGAGACAGTGAAAGGATCAGAGGTTGCCAGTGGTTTGGGGTGAGTGGGATGCACAGGCAGAACAGAGGGTTTTTAGGGCAGTAAAACTATTCTGTATGATACTATAATGGTGGTTACATGTCATTAGAAATCTGTCCAAACACATAGAATATACAACATCAAGAGTGAGCTCCAATGTAAATTACGAACTCTGGGTGATAGTGTGACAATGTAGGTTCACCAGCCGTAACAAACGTGCCACCGTGGCACAGGATGTCAATAGTGAGGGAGGTGGTGTATTTGGGCAGACAGTATGTGGGACCTCTCTGAGCTTTCCACTCAAGTTTGTGTTGAATCTAAAATTGCTCTAAGAAATAGTCTATTTTAAAAATAATAATGAAGCTCCCTAGATCCCACATCAGATGCAGTAAATCAGATAGAATCTTAAAGAGCAGTCATGAACCAAGAAACATGATTTTTAACAAATTTCTTTGGAAGCCACATCACTGGCTCTGTGAGGAAGGAAAAGGTGAGGGAACATGATGCAGAGATGACAGAAATTAACACTGGTATTGCTGTGTCCCAACTTCAGAGATTCAGATTCAGTAGCTTTAAGGTGGGGCCTAAAAATCTACATTTAAGAAACTCCTTTGGTCCTTCTGATAGAAGGCAAGACATTCCTACCTCCAAAAGCGAGCTTTCTGGAAGTAGGATTAAGAATAAGGAGCTTGAAGCTGAAAAAGAGGTGAAGATGGCAAAGAGTATTTCTCTTCTTATGTGAAAACAAAATACCTTTTTGTCAAAAAAATAAAAAAAAGATAGTCAAAGGCAATGAAGAGAGGATCTGAGCAAAGGACAAAAGAACTAGAGGCAATTCCTCCTCCTGAGGAATAACTATTTCTGCAGGAAGACAGTCTTGTCGTGTGTCTCCCAAAGTATGTAGGTGCACATTCCTCACCATGATTTCATGGAGACAAGGCAGATGACATGTTATCTTCGGGGATTTAGCCTCAAGAACAGATTAAGTACTAAAGCTCTAACACACCAATTAGCAGAGCTGTAGCCTCTAAATGCCACAATACAAAGCACTTATCAAGAACAGGCAAAAACAACTGGCAGGTCTTTGGGGGAAAAACTGGTTCATCCAATGGGTAAGAAAAAAAATGATTTTTTTTTTTTTTAGATGACATTCAAAATGTAGCAAGTCAGTAACTGTGCTTATGGAATAGCACCTATAATTGGGGTAACTGTATAAGTTATTATCCAAAACAGGAAACTTCTGAGTTAGAGAAGCTTTTTAATAATTATGCCAGCAAAACAGGTATAGAATAGGACTTCCCAAGTAAACCAGAATGAATGGCTCTCAAACTGTGGTACTTCCCTGGATATTAATAAACCAAATAATCATGATATATAATAACTACAATGTTCCACAGAGGAATTGGCCTTAATTACAAAGTTAGAAACCACAGATGGTGTTAATACAAGTTCTTTTCTCTCTCCACCCATATCCTTGGTGTGAAACATCAAATAGCCCTTTTATAATTACAAAGCACAGCAGTAATTAATATTGATCTCAGAACTCAATAAAGGTCAACATTAATTTACAGAACATTTTGGATTCAGTCTAGTTTTTACTCTGGAATTCATGCAGTGGGCAGTGTTTCACCAGCCCCATCACCATCACCATGATGGCAACAGTCACAAACTTGGACAAATTGTCTGAAAAAGTTTTTATTTTTTTCTAAAGATACAGCACACATCTGTATGGATCTTGAATCCCTAGTGAAATGGTGCCTTCATTATGAAAAGAAACATCTTTTCATTGGGTTTCTAAGCTGAAGGAGTTTGGTTTTACTTTTCCATTTTAACATATATTAATTAGGGTCGATAGTATGCCATGCTCTGCCCTAAGTGACAGATAAAGCAGAGGATAAACAGACCAAATGATTGTCAACTCAATTAAAAATATTGTTTAGTCATTTGTCATCTTTGAGACTAATGGTTCACAAACCTGACTGCACATCAGAAATACTAGGGGAGCTTTTTAAAAAACATTATGCCTCGTCACATAAAAACCTGTACACAAATATTCATGGTAGCATTACTCATAATAGCTAGCAATAGAAACAATCCAAATGTGTGTCAACTAATGAATGGATAAATTAAAATGTAAGTATACATAAAATGGAATACATTTTACCAGTTAAAGAGAATGAAGTTCTGATACACAGATGAATCCTGCATCTAAGTGAAAAAAACCAGACACAAAAGACCACATATTCTATGGTTCCATTCATAGGAAATGTCCAAAAGAGGCAAATCTATAGAGACAGAATGAAGATTAGGGGTTGTCCAGGGCTGAGGATCTTGGGGAGGAAAGGCGACTGACAGTTAATAGGTACAGGGTTTCTTTTTAGGGTAGTAAGAATGTTCTAAAATTGATTGTAGTGACAGTTGTACAAGCTTGTGAATACACAAAAACCCACTGAATTATTCACTCTAAATAAATTGTGCAGTATGTAAACTATGTCAATAAAGCTGATAAAAGAATACTAAGCTTGGATCTCAGTCCAGAAGACTATGATTCAAATGGGAATCATTTGATTTTCATATTCAGCACTGAGAAACATTGAGACAAACTGAGTAACTCAAATGCTTACGTTTTTACATTTTTTTTCCTTTAAATTTTTTTTTTTGGAGACGGAGTCTTGCTCTGTCACCCAGGGTGGAGCACAGTGGAATGACCTTTGCTCACTGCAAACTCCGTCTTCAGGGTTCAAGCAATTCTCCTGCCTCAGCCTCCCGAGTAGCTGGGACTACAGATGCCCGCCACCACGTCTGGCTAATTTTTTGTATTTTAGTAGAGATGCGGTTTCACCGTGTTGCCCATGCTGGTCTTGAACTCCTGAGCTCAGGCAATCTGCCCACCTCGACCTCCCAAAGTGCTAGGATTACAGGTGTGAGCAACCACACCTAGCCTTTAAATTTCTTTTTAACTTATAAAATTTAATTTTGAAAACTCATTTTTCCTTTCTCTTTTTAAATTATAAATTATAGTCCCATGAATTTTCAAATATTGTTATACTAGTTATATAATAAGAATATTTTAAAAACTATATAGAATAGACAGCACTGAGAAGAGATGAAGCAATAGAAAGGTCAAAGTTGAAACTTGTTAAAATGTGTTTGGCTTTTTTTCCCCTAAGGTTGGAATTATTAAACTGGTCTGACTTTAGAAGGTTTTCGAGGAATTGGTGTGTGTTATTGCAGAATCACTAGCTCTTAATTTGTAATTTGATGGCTAAAAACAGACAAGTCACTTAAAGGAATACATCATATTCAAAAGTTGCTTTCCTTGACATTTGGCCACCAGTCAGCCCTGTCTCCCCCAGTCTCCATCTGAAGTATGCTCATGCCTATGCAGTACCAGAGGGAATCTGAAGGGCCCTTGCCATGCACCAGCAGCCCTATTCTCACCTGTGTGGTTATATCTAACCTTAGAATTGCAGCCCCAAGATGGTCATCTGAAATACAAACACAATTGTTTGCAACTTTCTGCCTACCACCCATGGCATTTATGCAGTCTTTATGACTGGGATTTGGCCTCAACGTTTCCTCCAAAATCTCAGTAACCCAGCTGGGGATGAGCCTCACTTAGAAATGCTGTTCAGCGGTGCTGATCTCTTCCCCAGCTTAGAGGAGGCCTGCGCTTCCGCAAGCTGGCGGCCTGGCTGGCGTCCTGCTCATGCTGGAGAATCTACCCTGTAAAGTTCTACGCTGTCAGCTGCCAGACACTGTGTGCTGCCACTGCCAGGACACAATGCTCCTGGAACCCCTACCTGCTTCAGTGTTGATGCTGGCCTGGACCAAGCAAGAGGGAGAGGTGGCTCCAGATGTCTACCTGGACATTACCAGTGATTGCTGGTCCCTGCAGCTCCCTCTGGCATGGGCATCACATTCCTGGAGTCATCTCCTTTTCTCTCTGTGAGGTGAGGTTACAGCACTATCTTTGAAATCTTGTTAGAAAGAATATAAGACATTTACAGTTATATAGAGTATTGAAACAATTTTGTTCTTTTTAAAAGTTAAAGCATACATTCCAACTAACTCTATTTTGACAGTTTTGAGAATTTGACTATACATTAGTATCTCTGGAGGGGTGGTAGAATCAAACTACATCATACTCTAACTCCAATAAGGTTGGGAGTCTGATAGCTAAAGAGTGACTGACTCAAAAGTGAAGCCACAACCTGGGGACACTGTATTGACTCCTGTGTCTGGGGTCATTGCTGGGATCACTGAAGGTAATAATGCAGAAGAAGGAATGAAAAATATGTCCATCAAATGTGGGGAAGACATTTAACTGAGCAGAAATAATAAAAGAGAGGAAAATAGGATGGAGAGCTTTTGTGCAAGATCATATATTTAGAAACAAAAAGAACACATGGATCTGGGAAGCCAGATTGTAAGTGCTGTAAAAAACCCAGGGACACAGTTGAGCACGTGTTACCCTAAATTTGCAGGAAGGGAGCACTGTTATGAATCAACTAAGCTGTAAGGCTCATTACTGGGAAGATCATACACTTGGTATGTTGATGAATAGCAAGGTCCCAAATGAATAAGTTCACTTCTGTGTATTGCGCTGATCAAAGCAGTAACCTTAATTTCATAATTACACCTAAAAAAATGACAATTTCCAAACACTTGAAAACACCAAAATTCAATGGGACATACCATCATCTATAGCAAGTATTCATTAAATATTTATTACTCAAACAAATGACAAATAATTTCATCCAATAGTCTTTAAACTGCTTAATCCTGTGACAATATTTAATATTTTAAATTTCATGACCTTATTCTTTCTATGCTCTAGTTTTTAAAAGCTTGATAATTCTATTTCTTTCCTCTTTTTTTTTTTTTTGAGATGGAATCTCACTATATTGCCCAGGCTGGAATGCAGTCACGTGATCTCAGCTTACTGCAATCTCCACCTCCCAGGTTCAAGAGATTCTCCTGCCTCAGCCTCCCGAGTAGCTGGGACTACAGGCGTGCACCACCATGCCCGACTAATGTTTTTGTATTTTTAGTAGAGATGTACTTTATATTTTTAGTAGAGATGGGGTTTTGCCATGTTGGCCAGGCTGGTCTTGAACTCATGACCTCAGGTGATCTGCCCGCCTTGGCCTCCCAAAGTGCTGGGATTACAGGCGTGAGCCACCATGCCTGGCCAATTCTTTCTATTTCTTATAAAAAATTCTTATGTTCTTGGTGGATAAACTGGCTGCCTAATAAAATTATTTCAGTTCAAATGGAGAGATTCCTGCCAGATTCACCCAGCTGCCAATTATCTGAACTGAAACAAATAAAAATATGAAGTAAATTTTTATATCACCCTCCAAAAGCTTGGGAATTATATTCTGCCACTTAAGGCTTTACTGGACTTACTATCCATGAAATTTTCTAATTACAAAGTGGAAGTCTATTCAAGAGTGTTTATACTTAGAAAAGTTAGGAAGACAGGAACCTGAAAAAGACTGTCTTCAGAAAAACCTCTCTGTTTCCAGTAGGAATATACCATGGTCATAATTTTATGCTCACATGTCACACAAACATAGGCTGTTACTGGAGAGTTATTTTGTACAGTTGGTATTTTTAATTCTCCATTTTTTGTTCACAAATGTAAGTCTTTATTTTAATGAGGAAGAGAAGTCTGTGTTTCTTCCATTTCGAACTCCTCTGTCCACTTCTGCAGGTCTTGTGCATTATGCATCGTCCATAACTTTGCAAAATACTTGAGTCTCTTCCTGGGGAAAAATAAAATACTATTTAATAAATGAAATTGCTGGGAGACAATACGTCTCATCAGAAGCTATGAAAAGTCTGCAACATTTGAATACTGGGCAGGCTCTATAGTTAGGAAGCTGTGTCAGTGTCACCCTTCTGGTGAAAGGAGCTTTCAGAGCTGCTACTATAATCAAAGGACCCAGGTTACCAATTGCCACTACTGCCTTTGTGCTTTCTCCTAAAATCCTTACCCCTGTCAGCCCCAGAGGGGAGAACCTGACCTCCTCCTCCTTCAAACTCTGCTAGAGGCTGGTGGTGTGTGCTTATTTGCACCTGGAGACAAGAAACTCCTGTGAAGTGTTCCCAGGATGAAAAGTAACACCAACCGAAGACAATGAAGCTAATTAAAGAGTAAAATGCCAGCATAACACAGACTTACTTTTTTTTCCCTGCAGAATAGCAACTCAATTGAGTATTTAGGGTATGGAGCTAGAGTATCTGAGTTCCAATTACTGCTCCACCATCAACGAGCTGTGTGACTCTGGGTCAGTGTCCTGTCCTTGCTGGCCTCACTTTCCCCAACTAGACCATGAGGATAAGGCTGCCATAAGGATGAAATGAGATAATGTATGTAAAGCGATGAGAAGAGTAGCTGGCACAGTGTCTAGGCTGCTGCAAATGACTGCTCAGAATGGTTTCTACACACAGTAACCATCCAATAAATAGCAACTATTATAACAAATACACACTAAGGCCCAAGATTCAGTTTGATTTCTTTGATCTGGCCAAAAGAATTGATGTGATAAGCACTTTTAGAAAAAAGGTAAAACAACAAATACAGTATCTTGATAAATGATCAGATTCTATCCCAAAGCAACATCTTCTAATAATTCTCTCATCTTGTCAAGATAACTTCATAGATTTCAAAATGTCACTTACTAGTTGGAAGAGTTATGAGTAATCTGTGAATGTTTTTGCTCTTGCTTTGTAGGCTATATAGCAGAAACAAGAATATATGAAAATATAGAAATTGCCATATTTTATTGCTAGCTTGCATATATTTCTATAGCAAATTTAGAAATTGACATAGTTTATTGCTATCTTGTATATATATATCCTTTGTAGTAAAGCTTTATTCTAGGTTTTTTTCAGAGAAAAAGAACAATAATAATATGGCAACTAAAGAGAGTTTAATTTGTCTCTGGACTTTGCAGAGGAAGAGGGCTAACTTTATTTTTTAATTCTCATAGATAATTTTCCCTCAGGAAAACTTTTATATTAATCTGGCTTGTCACAGAAATAGGCTGAAACTGATTATGCCACTTTGCTTCTGTTTTGGCATTGTGATTTGGAAATGAGCCAGAAAAGAGTGTCACTAGAGGAGGCTGTGTGCCATTTGTAGAGCCCAGCACTCTGGACTTGGTCAACTATAGTACACCAAAGTGGAGGAGTGCAAGGCGGAAGCACAGGAGAAGGAGGCAGAGAAAGAGAAGTTAATTGCACTACTGTAAACAAGTTAGCAACTGTTTCTTTAGCTAGTATGATAGGCATTACTATTTCAATATTCAAATTTGGTAATAACTCCCAGAATTATTACCAAATATTAAAGAATATTCTTGGAGTATAACATAGGAACCACCAGTAGCCAGCCAAGATTTTCTATTCGATCAACAATCTGTTCATCATGGTCATATGGTTATCAACCAGGGTACTAATGTACCCAGCACATCAGGCTCCCCAAGTATGGCAGGGGTGGGGCAGTAGGTGGACAGGGAGCTTATGTTGTTTCAGAATTTTATATTTGGGAAACAAAAGGGTGTAATTTACGAATATGATATTTCCCTAGGAATATCTTTCTTTCAAAGTGTATCTCAGGTTTACATTAAGATTAATTTATGTACTGACTACATACTAGCTGGATAGCAAGGGTAAAGGTGGAAAGTATTCCCATAAGCATTTAAAGTGACAGAAGCCTGTTTAGAATAAAAAATTTGTCACAGTCTACAAAATAAGTGACATGTGGATACTGACTATGATTGCCTGTTATGTAGTACTATTTCATTAATATTCTGATAGAATTTCTGGATGTAATTGTTGCATATCTGAATAAAATCTATGAATAAAATAAATTTTCTGTAGGTTCTCAATATCTTCAGTAACCTTTGGCATAATTGAATCTTTAAAGTAACCAATGTGGCACATATTAAGGAATTAACTTAATTCTTTATAAAATGACTGAAAAACCAATTCAGCAACTTAATGATCTAATGAAGATGCACTGAATTCACCTGAGCTTTGCAAGAGCTGTTTTCACTTCATCATAATTAAATGGTTCAGAATATTTGAAGAGGTGCTTAAAAGGAGATCTGATGTTCATTTTTAGGACACTCCTCTTTCTTGGACAACTTAGGTTTCATTACAAATGAAAAAAATGTAGCATAATCATTCTGACCTTTTCGTATTTATTAATCCTTCCAGCTCTTTTGACTTGTGAGCTGCTTTCTTCAAAATTTCTCCAGGAACATCTGCTAGTTTAGCCACATTTAATCCATAACTCCTTGCTGCAATTCCTCTAGTTATTTGGTAAAGGAAGGTGACAAAATCAGGGACTTGTTCTTCGCCTGCGAAATAAAGAAAGGAGATCAAATCTGTGCCCGAATGCTGAAATAAATTATAGGATTAAAAAGGACATGTATATTCTCATAACTTTATTAAATCATACAATCTGAAATCACTATTCCTACTTGCCTGTTAGATCCATTTATTAATTTGATATGTCAAGAAAAGGGTAAACACTGTTTTGAAACTGCTGTGTGCATATAGGATCTTTTAGCTCACTTAAAATAGTTTTCAAAAATGATTCATTGCAAATTTGAACTGAACATCTATATTAAAAAGAGAATGATTTTATTTATTTACTTTTTTAGAGATAGGGTCTCGCTCTATCACCTAGGCTGGAGTGCAGTGGCGTGATCATACCTTACTGTAACATCAAACTCCTGGGCTCAAGCAATCCTCCTGCCTAGCCTCCTAAGTAGCTAGGATTACAGGTTCATGCCACCACACTCAGCTAATTTTTTAATATTTTTTGTAGAGATCGGGTCTTGCTATGTTGCTCAGGCTGGTCTTGAACTCCTTGGCTTTAAACAATCCTCCCTCCTTGGCCTCTCAAAGTGTTGGGATTACAGGTGTGAGCCACTGCGCTGGGATGAGAATGATCTTAGTATGTGGTTGATACAATATAATTTCTCCTTTTTATGTTTCTGAGACAGGGTCTAACTTGCTTGCCCAAGCTGGAGTTCAGTGGCACAATCTCAGTTCACTGGCAGTCTCAACCTTCCAGGTTCAAGGTGATTATCCCATTTCAGCCTCCAGAGTAGCTGAAACTACAGGTGCATATTACCATGCCTAGCTAATTTTTTTTTTTTTTTCTTTAAGAGATGGGGTTTTGCCATGTTGCCCAGGCTGCTCTCAAACTTCTGGGCACAAATGGTCCTTTAAGAGATGGGGTTTTGCCATGTTGCCCAGGCTGCTCTCAAACTTCTGGGCACAAATGGTCCGCCCACCTCGGCCTCCCAAAGTGCTGGGATTATAGGCATGAACCACAGTGCCAGGCCTATAATTTCTCCCTTAAAAACAGGTAAGAAAATATTACATGTTGGTCAGTTTAAATAACAGGATTGAGATGTTCTGGTTTATTAAATATTCAGTTTAACTAAGAGCTATACATACTGGATTCTGTTCAGTACCACCCAGATCCCTCTTAAGACTAAAGAGTTTATTCCCTCAGCTGTCAGACAGATTGTTGGCCTGCAACCCTCGACTGTTTGCCTTCTTTGGAAATTGTTGCAGCTGAAGGGGGGGCTTCACTCAAGACCACACCTCGCTTTGGGGCAGCCTGCAGCCAGTGACTGGTTGTTGTAGGTAGCCTCGAAGATGGCCACCAAAGACCTCTGCCTGCTGGTGTTCACGTGCTTGTGTCATTCCCAACCAGTGACTCACTTTTAATGAACAGAATACGGCAAAAGTGATGAGATATCACTTTAGAGATTAGGTTACAGAAAGATTGTGGCTTCTGACTTGGGTACGCTCACTTTGTTGCCTGCCTGCTCCGAGGGAGGCCAGCCGCCATGTTGTGGGCTGTCTATGGAGCTGCTCACATGGAAAAAACTGATGTCTCCCACCAACAGTCGGCGAGAGCCTGAGGCATGCCAACAGCAGCATGAGTGGGCTTGGAAGCAGATATTGGGAGGCTTGGCAAGAGCCACATGTGAGCTGGGAAGCCTTGACATGGCTGTTGCCCTGATCAGTGACTGACTGTAGCCCTGTGAGGAACCGAACTAGAGGATCTCTCATAGGGCTACAGTGTTCAGCCTTAGAGGTGTGGTTAAGTTGCCCCTGGACTCCTGACTCACAGAAACTATGAGGTAATAAATGTTGTTCTAAGCCACTATGCTTTGGGGGGTAATCTGTTGCACACTGTTTGCAAATTACCCCAAATTAATAAAGATAACTAATAAAGGTATAGAGGTCTATCCTCCTCACCCCAAGTTGAGGTAACTCTGAAGGACGATTCTAGCCTCAGAGTTCTCTGCAGGGCTGGCTGAAGCCTTTTGACTATAACACAGCCCAGCACTCCCAGTGAACCTCCTGAATGCAAATCTCAGAATCTGCTTCCTAGAGGACCCAGCCTGTCATATATACATACACATGAACTTAAAACTTCGAAAGAACTGGGATATAATGAAGTACAATAATTATAATAAACCACTGCATGTAGTTTAAGCTAAAGCAGCTCAGGATATTATGTAACTTTTATTATGAAATTCAATATAATTGTGCTGCAAAATGTGCATTGTGCTGCAAAAATGTCCAAGGTGGTCCAGAGTTACAAAGATTTCTACAATCCCAGTATACTTATGAGTTTATTAAGAGCTTTTTCTCAATCATTATTTCATTTGATAGATGTGTATGCTTTTCTTCTTTTATCAGTGAAAATTTAAAAAGCCAAAGACTGAACACAACAGAGAAAAAGGACAATGGATTTTTCCTGGCCCTCCTCTAAGAGTTCGGCAGCAGACAGATAAGAGCTTTCTAAGGGTGGGTGCTGAAGTAGGAGGTGGAGAGAACACCAACTCACTCAGAAACACAGACCCAAACTTCCGTTACAAGGCACTGAGAGTACCTTTTGCCCCCAAATGAAAGTTGAGGAACACAGGTGCGGAAGTAGGTGGGAACAGATTAGGGAAGACGCAGCTAGAAGCCAGTGCCCGCAAACCTGGATAACTTTTTGTTACTTTTCAAAGTTCACAAGACTAAGACTGAAGTGAAAAGCAATAGACAATCAAAAAAGCCATTTCTTATCTTTAAGACAGAAAAATAGTTTATCACTTCAACTGTGTTAGTCCTAACTGATCTCCCCGTCTCCAGTTCTCCAATATAATCTAGACCCCATGCTGACCTTTCTAAACAAGATTCATTCATCTGTCTCTCTGTCCATCTATCCATCCAGCTAGCCATCAGTATTTTCTGGGAGCCTAATAAATGCCATAAAATCCCCCTACCTAAAAATTTGTTAATGAATTTTTTTTTTTTTTTTTTTTTGAGACTAAGTTTCGCTCTTGTTGCTCAGGATGGAGTGCAATGGCATGATCTCGGCTCACCGCAACCTCCGCCTCCCGGGTTCAAGTGATTCTCCTGCCTCAGCCTCCTGAGTAGCTGGGATTACAGACTCCCACTAACAAGCCCAGCTATTTTTTTTTGTATTTTTAGTTTTTAGTAGAGTCAGGGTTTCTCCAGGTTAACCAGGCTGGTCTCGAACTCCCGACCTTGGGTGATCTGACCACACTTTGGCCTCCCAAAGTGCTGAGATTACAGGCGTGAGCCACCATGCCTGGCCTATTGATGACTTTTAATTTTTTTTTTGTTTTTATACAACTAGTGTGTGTGTGTGTGTGTGTATATATATATATGTAGACATATATAGAGAGTGCACGAGAGATAGTTGTAACAATGTTCTTATATAACGTATAATATAGCTACAAAATATAGCTAACTTACATAAAATATTTCACTGCTCTGAATACCTTGTTAACACACAAACAGTTGCTGAGTGTGTCATTATATGCTGGTCTCCACTTTACGTTATGGTAGTTTTCACACCTTCAAGGTAAAGAATGTGACCACTCTTCCATAATCACCTGGAGGATCTCTTTTTGTAATTATGTACTCCTTTACCCTCTGTGCGGGAGAGGGGTTTGGGGTGCTGGTAGGATGGAAATATGAAGTCAGAAAAAGCCACATGGGAGAGAATAAAACTTGTTTTATGAGTAAAACTCTGTTTCTTTACAGGTTCACAGCAAAAGTTCTTGATGAGGAAGTAATTACTTACAAGCTATGGCCACTTCTTAAATGGACATTATTAAAATGTTTACCTGGCACTGCTTTGAGTCAGTGGAAGTAATAATTCATGTTTCTGTTTATTACAGGGAAACTTAGCAAGATTTATATTTAAGCTAAACTTCTCTAAGCAGTTATTCAGGAGATATGTGCTGACAAATAATTTCTGAAGTTGCTTTTAGAACAGATTCATAAAAATTTAGGGGTGAGTGAAGTTAGGTGACTTGTCCAAGATCATACAGATTGGAATATACTAAAATACAGGTTTCTTAACTATTTGTCCATTGTTTTACCTATCACATCATGGGAAATAGAGTATTTTAAAAGCCATCCAAAAGACCTGTGGGGCATTTTACTGATGACCTATGCAATGGCCTCTACCTCATACAGAAGAGGAGAAGTTGGGGGAGAGGTAATGGATGAAGCACAGATATAGCCAGGAACAATACTGGAAGGCAGCAGGCAGTGGAGCACTGCTTCAAAATTCTGAGTGAGATGGTTTTCAATCTAAAATTCTAATCCTGGCTGAACTATAAATTTGAACATAGAAGCTACATATATTTTTTAAACTTTTAAGTTCAGGGGTACATGTGCAGGTTTGTTATAGAGGTAAACTTGTGTCACAGAGGTTTGCTGTACTGATTATTTAATCCCCCAGGTATTAAGCCTTGTATAAATTAGTTATTTTTCCTGATCCTCTCCCTCCTCCCACCCTCCCGTCTAGTAGGCCCCAGTGTGTGTTGTTCCCCTCTATGTTTCCATGTGTTTTCATCATTTAGCTCCCACTTATAAGTGAAAACATGCAATACTTGGGTTTTCTGTTCCTGCATTAGTTTGCTAAGGAAAATGACCTCCAGCTTCATCCATATTCCTGCAAAGGATACGATCTTATTCTTTTTTATGGCTGGAGAGTATTCCATGGTGTATTTGTACCACATTTTCTTTAACCAGTCTACTGTTGATGGGCATTTAGGTTGATTCCATGTCTTACTACTGTGAATAGTGCTGCGATGAACATACGTGTGCATGCGTCTTTATGACACAATTTATATTTCTCTGGGTATATAAATTGTAATAGGATTGCTATTACAGTAATAGGATTGCTGGGTTGAATGGTAATTCTGTTTTTAGGTCTTTGAGGAATCAACACATTGTCTTCCACAATGGTTGAACTAATTTACACTCTTACCCAGTGTATAAGCATTCCTTTTTCTCCACAACCTCACCAGCACCTGTTATTTTTTGACTTTTTAATAATAGCTAATCTGACTGGTGTGAGAAGGTATCTCATTGTGGTTTTGATTTGCATTTCTCTAATAATCAGTGATATTTTGCTTTTACAATTCTGGACACAGGAATGGGCAAAGATTTCACGACTAAGAGGCCAAAAGCAATTGCAACAAAAGCAAAAACTGACACATGGGACCTAATTAAACTATAGAGTTTTTGCACAGCAAAAGAAACTATGAACAGGGTAAACAGGCAACGTACAGAATGGGAGAAAATGTTTGCAAACTATGCATCTGACAAAGATCTAATATCCAGCATCTACAAGGAACTTACATACATTTATAAGAAAATATGAACAGGGTAAACAGGCAACGTACAGAATGGGAGAAAATGTTTGCAAACTATGCATCTGACAAAGATCTAATATTCAGCACCTACAAGGAACTTACATACATTTATAATAAAAAACCAAACCCATTAAAAAGTAGGCAAAAGATATGTACAGATACTTTTCAAAAGACAACATACACATGGCCAACAAGCATGTGAAACATTTTCATTCATGAAAAATCTCAAAACTTTTACCTCCTTTAGTTGATATTAGTAGTAGCCTAATTCAACATTTATCCCACCCCTAAGAAAACCTTGATTTTATAAGGAATTAACTCCCTAATCATTTAACTCAGGGGACTGGGTCTTCAAAGCCAGCTCCAGAAGTGGATCCTGATTCACCTAGGCCCATCAAAGTCGCCCCTGCCATCCTCTGCTAAGGACTGGTTTAGGAAGGAGCCTGTTACTCAATTCTGAAAATGCGATGAGGCAATTGTGAGATACTGGAAGACATCTGAGAAAAAGTTCCCTTGTTCTAAGAAAGAGTTAACAGGAAATGCTTGTCTCTTTTCTTCCTTTGGACATTCTGGACATGATGCCAGGAAGGGCTGCAGTCATTATCACTAGCCTGGTGATAAAACCGGCCAGGCAGGAAGACAGAGCCTGGGAATTGCAAAAAGGAGGCGCTGAAGCCCACTCTTCCTCTGGAGTTCATGGAACATGGGATTATACATAACTGCATCCTTTTGTCTGAGCCAGTGTGAGACTGAGTGTTTCGTTCCTTGAAATCACATGCTTAGAAGAGGGGTAAGGGAACTCCTAGGATGCCGGCAAGGCAGGCTCGGGATGACAGCTATGCAGCAGGCCCAGATAGCAGCCAGTTCAGATGAGCAGGAGGACAAAGGGCTCCAGGAGGAAGAGCCCCAGTGGGACAAATGGGAACCAGTAGGTTCAGTTGTGTGGAAAAACATCTACAGAGGCATTTTACGAAGCTATTGGAGGGTACAGGAAGATTCAGCTATAGACTCAAAAACAAAACAAAACAAAATGAAAAAATAAGGACAGTCAATTCTTATTTTTGAGAAAATAGAAAACATTGTAAAAGAAATGTACTTGTCTCATACTTGGCTCATCAGTAAGCAATACTTAGCATGGCAATAATAATGAAAATAACAAATATGAATGACATGCAATAAATGCGAAATGACTACATTGGAAGGACAGAGGAAGGGAAAACTGAAGATTCTCAATTAACAACACAATGACAATAGTCAACTTGATGAATCAAGGGACAGGAAAATATGCATATTACTTAGAAATACAACAGAAATGGGGAAAAGTGTTGAAAGTAGTTGCCTTGGGACTAGGATGGGGAAGGACAAGGACTGGAGGGATGGAAGCTTGTCAGTTGGAGCCTTTTAGCACCACTGAATTTTAAAAATTATGTTCACTGATAAAAATTAAAATCAGTCAGGCAAGGTAGCGCATCCCTGTAAGCCTAGCTTTGGGAGGTCAAGGCAGGAAGATCACTTGAGTTCAAGAGTTTGAGACTAGCCTGGGCAACATAGTGAGAGCCTGTCTCTACACAACATACAAAGATCAGCCAGGCATGGTGGTGTGCGCCTGTAGTCCCAGCTACTGGGGAGGCTGACATGGGAGGATCACCTGGGCCTGGGAGGTTGTGGCTGCAGTGAGCTGTGATCATGCCACCGCACTCCAGCCTGGATGACAGTGATGCCCCATCTCAACAAAACACAAAAATTAAAATCAATAAAATAAAATGCCCAGAACATTTAAGGGAAAGGTACAATGCTCTGGGTTAGTTTTCAGTTCACATCAAACGCTTATTAGTGGCACTGACTCCTCCTCTTCCCTATTGGTGAACTCTATTCTCTTTGTCCCAAGGGTTTTAGCTTAAGTCTCCTCTAGTCACCCTGGATGCAGATTAATAGATACAAAACTACCTCCATGACAGAATTTATGATGTGTTTTTCAAGACTGCATGGTGGTGAAAAGCAGGAACTGCCTAACATTACATTTATCTTAGGGCCAGTGCTTTGTTTCATTTGGGCCAGTTGCCTGATTTCTTTTTCAGGTCCATCCCTATTACTTTTCCAAAATAAAATTTGGACTCTGGGATATCTTGCATGATGGATTTTCCATTGTAGCATACCAATTGCGCAAACCACCACAGTTCTACAGGCTGGTAGCTTAAAACAATTACTACTGAACAGAAAAAAAAAAAATGCTAAAGTCTACTATGTTACTTATGGCACTTAAATTTATTGCTATTGGCTAACGGTGTTCTTTTTCATAAAATGTCTCATTCCTGTGACACCAGTAACTGGAAAGACTAGGAAAAATATTGTAGATTTCCTTCATAGCAGCTCTAGCAGAGGGGCACAGAAGAGTACCCAGAAGCAGAAGTGAATTCTAGGCTCATTTTAGCCCCCATCTAAGTGGTTGACATGGTCAAACCACTTTACCTGTCTGAGATTCAGTTTCCTTATAATATTAAAAGAAAAACCTATGTCCAGTACAGTATATGGCCCTTAGTAAGTTAAATGATATTTTGGGGAAAATATTGGGCATTTTTAAAAGATGACTAATTACATTCTGCAGTTGACTGTCATCTATACTGAGATGAATCATGTAAGAGTACAAGGCACTAAGAGGAAAACCTAAGTGCCCCCTCCACCCACACCCTATTCCTGTAAAAAAAAGAGAAAAGGGCTGCCATGACAAATGAGACAAGGAAGACCAGAGAAGGACTCAGAGATAGCATGGATAAATGTAAATTCTACTTGACCTAAAGCTTAGCAAAAATGAATCCTGACAAATGTTATTTATAGCTCACATTCACAGCTTTCATTATTAATAAGCAGTAAGTTCATGTTCCAACAAACTTTGAGGTATCAAACATGAAAACCAATATTTGTACCAACTGGAGGAATATTTTATACCTGGATCCAGTTTGCTTTCATCCTCGCTGACCAAGAATCCCATGTGGTAATTCCCCACCTGGTGTGAGTAATTTTTTTCTAGCTCACAAACTGGCGGATAATGGGTGACAAACAGGGTTAAGGATTTCACCTAAAGCAATAAGACAGAATAAATGTTATTTCATTTTTAAATTTTATTGTAATTAAAATTTGTCTTCAACTTTCTTTGGAAAAATTTTAAATCTTCCTAAAAGTCACAAGAAAAGTACAACGACCAACTATTATATACTCTTTATCTAGATAACCAATTGTTAATATTTTGTCATATTTCCCTTCTTCCTCCTCCTCCACAGACACAGACATTTTTTCCTGAACCATCTGAGAATTAGTTGCAGACATCATGACACTTCATCCCTAAAGATTTAAGATTCTCTTTTTTTTTTTTTGAGATGGAGTCTCGCTCTGTCACCCAGGTTGGAGTGCAGTTGCGCAATCTCGGCTCACTGCAAGCTCTGTCTCCCAGGTTCACGCCATTCTCCTGCCTCAGCCTCCCGAGTAGCCGGGACTACAGGCACCCACCCGCCACCATGCCCAGCTAATTTTTTTTTTTTTTTGTAGAGACGAGGTTTCACCGTGTTAGCCAGGATAGTCTCGATCTCCTGACCTCGTGATCCATCTGCCTCGGCCTCCCAAAATGCTGGGATTACAGGCGTGAGCCACTGCACCGGGCCAAAGATTCTATCTTCTAAGAACAAAACATCCTCCTATATAACTAGAATACAATTATTACACTCAAGAAATATATTACTATTATATAACATATACAGTCCCTAAATCTCCCTAATTCTCCCAACAATGTTTCTTTTTGTCTCTTTCCTTTTTTGTCTTTTATGACATGGACATTTTTGAAGTATCAAGTATCCTTTCCTATAGGAATAGAGTGTGGGTGGAGGGGGCACTTATGCTGTTTTGCATAATGTCTTTCAATTTGGACTTTGCTATTTCCTCCAAACATCATTGCCAATGAGGACTAAGCTCTGATTTTTTTTATCTTGCCCAAATTCCTACCTAAGGGGTCTGGGGATTCATGCCCTACAAACCCTGGATTCTCATCAGATGGGTTTTATTTGACCCTGTATATTGTGACTTGCTTTTCAATATGACTCCAGCACAACACTATGAGACACGGAAAAAATATTTAACCCCAAAATATACTTCCTTGCCACGCCTTGAAATTGCCCTGTGAAGTCTCTTGTGAGAAAAATCCACATTCTATACAGAATCCCCTTCCCCCTTTGTTTTCCTTCCTTTCCAGATCCATGAGATAATCAACTAAAAGCCAGGCACCCTTTTAGGTCTGATAAGAAACATTTTACAACCTGCTCTCTCTGTGAAGTCTGAGAGCTTCCTCTGCACAATAAAACTTGGTCCCACAATCCTTTATCTTAACCTGAACATTCCTTTCCATTAATCCCAGGTCTTCAGATAAACTCAACCAATTATCAACCAGAAAATGTTTAAATTTACCTGTAGCCTGGAAGACCCTCCTTTGAGTTGTCCCACCTTTCTGAACCAAACCAATAAATGCATTTCTTAAATGTATTTGATTGATGTCTCATGCCTCCCTAAAATATATAAAACCAAGCTGTACCCTGACCACCCTGGGCACATGTTCTCAGGACCTTCTGAGGGCTGTGTCACGGGCCATGGTCACTCACATTTGACTCAGAATAAATCTCTTCAAATATTTTACAGAGTTTGACTCTTTTCGTTGATACCAGGAATATTCCACGGATATGTGGGTGATGGATCCTTCCCAGTGCATCACATCAGGAGGGATGTGATATCAATTTCACATAACTGGGGATGCCAAATTTGATGATCTGGTTGAAAAGGGTACCCATCAGATTTCTTCACTATACCTTTTCCCTTTGTAATTAATAAATAACCTGTTATTTTATTAATGATATTTTGAGATATATGAATATCCTTTTCTCCAACAATCTTTCATCCAAAGGTTTTATAATCTATTGATCATCGCTGCCTGAATCAGTTATTATTCTAGTGGTTATTGAAGGCTGATTAAGAAATTCTTCCTACATTTATTCATTGGTATTCTGTAAAGCAGAGGTTTCACTTTTCCCCACTCACCTCCACCATTTTAAAGTTTATTTTTGTTAGTGTCAGTATGAATTCTTTATTAACAATTTTTTTTTTTTTTTTTTAGAGACAGGGTCTCACTCTATCATCCAGTCTAGACTGCAATGGCACAATCATAGCTTACTGTAACCTCAAACTCCTGGGCTCAAGGGATCCTCCCACCTCAACTTCCCAAGTAGCTAGGACTACAGGTGTGCGCCTATTGGGAGAACCCGCTCCTAATGATTACATGGGTTCTTTTCTATTTCCTAAGTGTCTCAGCTGGTTTGAGAAATAAAGGGAAAGAGCACAAGAGAGAGAAATTTAAAGCTGGGTGTCCGGGGGAGACATCACATGTTGGCAGGATCCCTGATGTTCCCCGAGCTGTAAAACCAGCAAGTTTTTATTAGCGATTTTCAAAAGGGGAGGGAGTGCACGAATAGGGTGTGGGTCACAGAGATCACATACTTCACAAGGTAATAAAATATCACAAAGCAAGTGGAGGCAGGGTGAGATCACAGGACCACAGGATGGGGCAAAATTAAAATTGCTAATGAAGTTTCGGGCATGCATTGTCATTGGTAACATCTCATCAGGAAACAGGGTTTGACAGCAGACAACCTGTCTGACCAAAATTTACTAGGCAGGAATTTTCCTCGTCCTAATGAGCCTGGGAGCGCTACAGGAGACCGGGGCTTATTTCATCCCTTCAGCTTCGACCATAAAAGACTGCACGCTTCTAAGGGGGCCGTTCATAGGCCTGCCCTCAGGACGCATTCTCTTTCTCAGGGATGTTCCTTGTTGAGACGAAGAATTCAGTGATATTTCCCCTATTTGCTTTTGAAAGAGGAGAAATATGGCTCTGTTCCGTCCAGCTCACCGGCAGCCAGAAGTCTTATCTCTGATGTTCCCTGAACATTGCTGTTATCCTGTTCTTTTTTCAAGATGCTCAGATTTCATATTGTTCAAACACACATTCTATAAACAATTTGTGCAGCTGACACAATCATCACAGGGTCCTGAGGCGACATTCATCTTCCTCCGCTTATGAAGAAGATGACGAGATTAAGAGATTAAAGTAAAGACAGGCATAGGAAATCACAAGTGTGATTATCACTGGGGAAGTGATAAGTGTCCACGAAATCTTCACGATTTATGTTCAGAGACTGTAGAAAAGATAGGCATAAGAAATTATAAAAGTATTAATTTGGGGAACTAATAAATGTCCATGAAATCTTCACAATATATGTTCTTCTGCCGCGGCTTCAGCCGGTCCCTCCGTTCGGGGTCCCTGACTTCCTGCAACATGCGCCACTATGCCTGGCTAATTTTTTATTTTTAATTTTTGTAGAGAGAGGTCTCACTATGTTGCCCAGGCTGGTCTTGAACCTGGGCTCAAGCGGTCCTCCTGCTTCAGCCTCCCAAAGTGCTGGGATTACAGGCGTCTGCCACTGCACCCAGTCTCATGGATTCTTTAATAAGCATTATTTTAAGGCATATTTTATGTATTCTGGAAACCTCTATCTGGAGGAAAGTTAACACCAATCTTAGCCTAAATATTGGCATAAGGAGATAATTAAATCAAAGAATTCCAGTTTTGATTCACCTGCCATTCACCTTATTAAAAGTCTGAACGTGTGCCTTCTTTCTGATAACAATAACAAAGAAACATATTAAGGCAGGATTTCTTTTAAAAGTTGTGCTTAAAATCTGCCCTGAGGGATCTTAGGACCACCTATCTCCATGGTGCTCCTTCTCCAAGCTGATAGGCACTTTTAGCCTAAGGGTCTGGGATCCGACACTGCACTCCGCAAGGCTGTTCTCAGCCTGCAGCAGCAACACGTGACCTCCCTTATTGCTCCTCTCTGATCTCTCTTCCCTATCCAAAGATCAGAAGGAACCATGAAAAGAAAGATTTCCATCCATAAAAAGGTCAGGGAAGTTTCTGGTTTCCAGTCTAGCATATAAGAAGGTTGGAGGTTGCCTCTCCATCACAAGGAAAAAGTAGAACAAACTGAAAAATCAACTCTTCTTAGATCTGTAAGAGAAACGAAGTCACAGGCAAACCACTGTCCCCCAAATTACAGACAGACAAGCAGATACAAAGAATCACAACTTTCCTGGGCTGAAATGCGGGCAGAAACCTCTGAAGGAACCAGTATCAGGGTAGGAAAACTGGAACTGGAACTGATCAATTACTGGAGGCTCAGTGTCAACAAGTCTGAGAGTCAAAAAGTCCAGGGGAACCGAGTCACGGGGGAAGGGGGCACACTTCTGTGAGTTTTACTCCCAGGAGTTACACTTGATTCTCACAATAAATGCTGGAGTAAATTCCCCTTATGCTTCAGGCAAGGGGAAGAAAGAAAGAACTATTTTGAAATGCACCAGGGCACTCTGTTCTTAACAAGGCCTGCCTCAAAAGAAACTAAAGCGGAGCCTTAAGTAGCCTTAAGTAGTTTAAAAACCTGCTGGGGTTTTATCAGAGCCTAACCTACTTGGGGGAAGGCAAAGACTCAACTCTAGTCTCCTCTAGCCTTCCACATGAGAGAAAGGAAATATCGAACTCCAGCCCACTCTAGCCTTCCTATCCCAACTGAGGGGTGGGAGGGAGGTAAGACTGAGACTTAATCATAGGACTCCTCCCCTAGCCCCTTACCACCACATTACTAAAAGCTAATTTACAGCAGTTCCTTTTACCCAATACATCATGGCCAGCTGTCAAGAAAAAGTCACAAGGCATACTAAAACTAAAAACCCACAAATGTGAAGAGACAGAGCAAGCATCAGAACCAGACATAGCTATGGCAGGGATGTTGGAATTATCAGACTGGGAATTGGAAACAAATGATTAGTATGCTGGGGGCTCTATGGATAACACAGACAGCATGCAAGAACAGATGGGCAATGTAAGCACAGAGATGCACATTCTAAGAAAAAACCAAAAGGAAACACCAGAGATCAAAAACACTGGGATGGAAATGAAAAATGTGTTTGATGAGCTTACTGGTAGAC